TGGATGGGGGGATGGATGGATGGATGGATGGATGGATGGATGGATGGATGGATGGATGGATGGATGGATGAATGGATGGTGGGATATGGATGGATGGATGGGTAAATGGATGGATGGATGGATGGATGGATGGATGGATCAGGATGGATGGATGGACAGTTAGAAGGACAGAACAACAGGTGAATGGATTGGGTGTCTCACTGTTTTGGAATTGAGTCTACAATTAGTCTGTCTATTAGTTAAATTAAGCTTTTGACTCCTGTCTATTAAAGGGTTTAGCACACAACATGCCCTTTCTTAAGGAATAAGGATTAGCAAATTATTCAACGTAATAAAAAATAAAACTCAAGCAGCTGATCAATACGATAAAACAAGTGTAAGCATAAATAAGGATAATTTAAAATACATTTAATCAAATTTAATTTTAATATATTTTTTTTTATTTAATTCAAAAGACTATATATTTGCCCGTAATATATTCTCACTCCCCATGTACAGTACATGGGAAGATGTATCATTGTATCCTGGGGCATTACTAGCATAGTCACACTGAATATTGTCACGTGACGTCCAAATAGCTCTATGATCGTAATTTCTCATCTTCCAGTAGCTACTATCCTTCCATTACGACCTAATAGATTGCCTAGATTGAACATCCAACGGTTGCTGTTCTTTGCGCGCGTGAATGCATGCGCTCTCGGAATAAATAGGATTGAATCCGATTTACTCGTGGCGAAAAATCCATCAACGGATCGTTTTACTCTTGGGTGGCCATTTTTTTCTTCCAACCAACAGGGCAGCGTGCGGTCATGCTACCACGAACCTAGAACATCAATCTATAACAGCACGCCACAAGTACAAGAAACGGCGGAAGGAACACAGCGTACGGAGCAACGTAACGAATGAATTCCGAATTCCAAGTTTTGTAAGTACACGCAAAGATCGATAAACGTTGTCGACTGAGACATTGGGACATACTTCCACGAGGCAGTAGAGAAACAGCACACGGCGTCACCGCCACCGACTTCACTTCCCTTTTACGATGTTGATTCAGGGATAGAGTTTATATCTGGTGAACCAATAAGGCTGTAGGTCACTGGTGCATGTAGAAGCTAATGTTTCAGCCACCATTAGACATCGGATAATGTCATTACGTTCACATCTATCGACGCCAAAACGCGGTTTGCACTCCCACATGAAATACACACTATATACAAGTATACGCACTATATACGCGTACACGCACTATATACGCGTATACGCACTATATACGAGTATACGCACTATATACGAGTATACACTATATACGCGTACACGCACTATATACGCGTATACGCACTATATACGCGTATACGCACTATATACGCGTATACGCACTATATACGAGTATACGCACTATATACGAGTATACGCACTATATACGCGTATACGCACTATATACGCGTATGCGCACTATATACGAGTATACGCACTATATACGAGTATACGCACTATATACGCGTATACGCACTATAAGA